ACGCGTTGAGTTTGCGGTTTGTCATCCTCTGTTATTTGCAAAATTGATAAGAACACTATTTCAGTTGGGAAAAGATTGTGAATTGCAGAATCATTCGATAACTAGAACAAATGAAATGGGAAACCTCATGGCCAGGTCCATTAAGGTACGCGTTAATTGTTTTCTTTAGAAGTTGCGTCACTGCAAGAGTGGGTTCAATGGTGTGCAATCAAGCAGAAACAAGACGCTGGGAGCTAATAGTGTCCCGACAAATCGTCAATAGCGATTTCAGAGTAGAAGCATTTTATAGGGTATTTAGGGCCAATCTAGTGCCCTCGCTTTGCATGCTGCCCTAGGGATTGATGGTGAACCTGCGGACTTATGCAGTCGCACTTCAGCGCGCTCGAAGGTGTGGCAGAATGTGAGGTCGTTTGGCGGTGTATCCTCTGAAAACTTGTGATATGCACAAGCCCAAATGCCGATAGGCAGCTGGTAAAGCGCTTCACATAACGAGAGTCAGAAACCATTGTAACCACTCCAAGACAGTAATTGGTAGGTGCGCAGTTACCTCATGTATTGAGTCACTCTAATGCTGCTCTTACGATTTATTGCACGCAGGAGAGTCCTTCTAAATAGGTAGGTTTGCATGTGTTCCATTCTCTTCTCCTCGCTTTCTCAACATCTCTAGACACTATTCTCCACTTCGACTTGTGGTGTTTAAAGTGATCTCACAACAAAGGTGTCCCCTGAAAGGATAAATTAGCTGCTTTTATCGAGTGTGACTGCACTGAGATGGCTCACTGCATCGGTGCAAATTTGAGCGTCACTTTATTTGAGTGCCTCTGGCAGTAAAACGTTCCATACTTGGATGACTCACTGCATCGATATTCAGGCCAGTGAAATGGGCTTTGATTTAGTCCAAATTCTTCGGTCGCATCCTTTTTGCTCGGAATCGACATAGCGGACGTTTGGACGACTCTTCAGCAGTGAACCCAACTGCAAATTTAGTACCTGCGAATGGCGGCGGTGGAGAACACCGCCTCCTATTTCGTCGCCCTGCTCTACGCGTCACCAAGGTATCACCAAGTGATGTTGGGCGTCGAATTTGTCGTGTTGTGCGAAGGAGTGCCCTCTTCCTACTCACTACCCTTCTCTTCGCTGTCTCGATGAATATCTTTTTCAATTCCATCAAGTGGTTCTTCCACTTGCCCCAAAACTTGACAACTGGGAATGGCACAGTGGAAATTGACGGGGTAAGTCAAGTAGCCTCAAAGCCTCATCTTTTGCTCTTGAATTCGGTGGTGTCCCAGCAAATTGCAAGGCAATCATTGTAGCAAAGGAACAGCTGCTCTCTGAGGCCCAAAAGGCAGTCAGGTTTCAATCGTCTTCATCGGCACACGCCTGTGTACATACAGCTTAATGACCGGGAGTGCTAAGGAGACATGCAAAGAGAGCCCCAATTGCCGATTGAAAGCTCTGTGGGACGCAACTTTGATAAAAGGCTTGCCTAGGTTAAATCTGGCTCTGGATTTACAATTTCAAATGCACTGTGCTATTAAGGAAGTCTTTTATTAGCACCTCAAGACGGTTAAAGGGCAAAAACGTGCCAAACAGTGGGTTGAAACTGGAGAAAGTTTGACCCCTTAACTCCTCCAAAGCCATAAGCAAAGGATGTTGATGTGATGGAAGTAGAGGGAGGAAGCCTCAGCAAAAGCGTCATCCGATTATGCAAGCTTCAACTTCACCACTGTTGAGTACATTCGGCGAAATCTTCTTCACGGGAGAGGAATATGACAGCAATTACTACAAAATACGTGCTTTTTTGCCGAGAAATTGTCAAATCAACGAAAAGTCTGCTCTATTTCGTACAAAATAAAGGATAAAGCTTCGTATTTGGTTCCCCGCAAAGGAGTTTCTGGGTTGAATTTGGCCGGGCGCAAGAACTGCTTTGTGTATGCGTATTCTAGATTTGCAGAACACTAGGACTCGGTGTCACACATGCAACTCCTTAAGTTCTACGGACTCGTGGTCTCGTCCTCTCCCACTGTGCTTAGTGGGAAGAAAAGTGCGGTTTCTTGAAATGGGGGCGGAATGTTAGTTGCAGAGGTTGTCAATAAGGAATTCATGATTCGCCTTGATTTCAGTCCAGCGCCAAGCTCTTTTCGTTGCCTCGACTCTCATCAAATCTCAAAAGCCCATTAAGCCATTTCGCTTGTAGTGAACCCGCATGTCCCTCCGTCCGGCTATCCAACCATCCGCCCGTGAGTGCGTTCATGCATCAAATCAGTATTAGGCACTGTTGATACTCCGCATGCTTGTCTTCCCTTCTCAAATTAATATAGAACTCTAAGTAAATTACTTTCAGGATGGAAATGCTGTTAGTTATCTTCTGTACACGAATGCGCGGCAAACTTCGACACTGTGATGAAGTACTTTACTGGTCGATTGCATAATTGGTATGCGGCTCGCTTCAGCAATAC